GGCTTAAGAAGCATTGAAATTTGAATATCCTTAGTTGTAGCTTTTACACCCTTTTGATATTTTTGAGAAACGTAAGAGAACGAACAACATTGTCGTTGTGGATTGAGATCAATAAACATTAGGAGCTATTAATAACTTGATTTTTTTCTTTTTTTTTTAGTTGTATTTGATATACCGTAAGTAGGAAAACATAATTTACTTACTTTGCTTTTTCTTTTCTTTTTACATAACATCATTCAAATTCAGTTTTTTTCAGCAGAAGAAAGCAACAACGATGAGACAACTATTCATTATTATCGCTTTCGTGGCAGCAACTGCTCTGGTAAGTTACAGTAATCTAAATTTAGAACTACTTTTTCTTTTTCTGCTGCAAAAAAGTACTCCTTTTGCCATAATATTTTAAGAAATTGTTTGTTGATTTAAACAGTGCATAATCTGGCAAAAAGCGAAATTTTATATCGGATAATTAAAGCAAAATAGAGTCAGCTAAACAAACCACTGAAAAAAGTGCAGGTCTTTTTCTGTCAAATTTTAGAGCTCTTTTTTAAAATCAGAATAATAATTACTGCACATTAACGAACTCATCCAAAACAGATGCAAGAAAAAAGACGTGGTGAAACAGAATTGTTTTTGACAAACAATGTGCACTTAACATGCATTGAAGTTTCCAAAAATAAGAAAACATTGTCTTTGTTTCATATTTATTATGTTTTTTAAGTTTTTTTTTGCAGTGCTGTCCTTCAACAAATACAACAGGAAATTCAACAGGGCCAAGTAAGTCGCGAAAAAAGTTAATCAACTGCTAAGCTTTCACGTATACATCAAAAGAAAAATGTGCTTTTAGCTGTTCTGTTTTAGTTAAAGCTAGACCTAAGTGGTCAGTCTGTGATAAGAATGAAATTATTGCTGTTCTCACGACAAATGGAGAGTTCTCGGAAGACAATGACACATATGTGCGAAGTGTTCGAGCTAAGGTAAAGCAGTGATTCAGAAGTTTGCAAACTTAGTGGAAACAGCACAATATCGGTAGCGCTTATGCCACCCTGAGAAATTCTTTTGCCTTTCAGATCCTAAAACTGGTGGTCTCAAACAACATTGATACTGAACAATTTGGTGATTTCAACCACGAAATTGTGTAAGTCATTGTAGTCAACTGTTACAACTGCTCAAGCTCAGACTTCCCATGCTTTTGACTGCTGCCGGCTGTTGAAAACTGCCAAATGTTTGAATTTTTTTACTTGTACAAAAAAATCTTGTGTAAAAACTTTTCAATAATTGAATCAGATATTAAATTCATGAAGTTACAGCAATGAAGATGGGTACTTTGCATTGGTTTACAATTTCACTGATGAGAAACACCGTCAGTGTGATGGTGTCAAGAAATTTGCAGAACTTGTACGAAAGGAAATTGCAGAGGTTTGAAGTTTTGCGGCACAGAAGACTTAATCATAAATTTTTTTGTTGCTTTTTTTTTCTTCTTGACGGTCATAAAGAAATCTTGCTGTTAATTATTGATATATTTATACAAAACTTATTTGCTGTTCTCAGTAATAAAGAGAAAAAAAAATTATTTTTTAGGTATCACAGGCG